TTTTTAGGTGTGAAATGATGAACCCAAATAGAGAAAGCTAGTTTTTATATGTCCACGGCTGCTGCAGTGGTTTCTGTGTTAATATTTCAGCGACTGAGGATGCAAGTCAAGTCAGTCTTGCTTATGGCCAATTTGTCGATATTTGTAATTTGATTTTCATTAGGGACATATTCTAAACAATGTCTGTACCAGCTTGAATGTATTTTAAATGCATTGTTTTGGTGTTAAGTGACATCTTTCCTGGGGTAGATACAGCAAGACACTGTCTTAGACACCTGTCACACCTAGGTGACTATATAGATAGTTCCAAGTCACGATATTCCTACCTGAACTGGCGACTTCACGCTGTGGCTGAACATCTCTCTAAAGAGGGTGTTGATTACAGAGATGCTGCAACACTTCTGATCTCCCCGATTGACGAAGAAGGTGAGATGCCTCTTCAATGAGGGCATAGTGGGGGAGGACTAGACATCTGAAGAACAGCATACTCTGCCCACGGAGGTGGCTGCTCTGGGCGTGAGCTACAGCGTCAGGTTCCTGACACGGCTGGGCTCCCTCCCAGAACAGGACAGAGGAAGCCTTGGAACCTAGAGAACACATCTTAACAGATTCTGTAAAGCCCTCCTCATGGTTACTTCATTCATCTGTGAGTGTTCTTAAGTTCAGCAAAATTGGCACTCATCCCATAAGCAAAAAGGAAACAGAAGAAGAGAATTGTACCAAGTATCCTATATCCTTCACTTCTACCACTGTGGTGTCATAAGAGAAATCCACGATTTGAAGTCATTGTAGGATAGAGTTCCAACCTCAAGAGTAATGTAAACTGATTTACTAAAAAGGAAACATGCTAGCACAATTCCCAAATATTCCAGAAAACAATGTTGACACAGTAGTGGGGCTTCTGGGTAGGATTGGCTATGTAATTTGTGGAATCCAGTACAAAATGAAAAAATCATTAGGATTTCACATTGGCAGCAGCAGAGAATTAAAGCAAGCAGGGACCCTTCTGAGCGCAGGGCCCTGGGTGACTGTGCCAAAGAAACAATTCTGCTAATGGGTTTGTAAGGAGTCACCAATGTAGGTAAAAATAATATGACCGTCCAAATGTCAAGCGAGAGGAAGACAGAGAGGGGCTATGTTTGTACATGTTCCTGAGACGAGAAAACAAGGCATTGGATCACTGTGTTTCATCTAAACTCGTACTCTGCATTCCTAGGAGAAGAAGAGAGAGAAAAAGTATTTCTTTACCATCTGGAAAGTATTTCCTCTTGTATCTTCAATCCATTGTCCAGGAAGGCATACTTATTAGTGTTTAGGCTTCGAAAACTAGATAGTTAAGATAAATGACATAAAGAACCACTTCATTTAGATAAACTGAGAAATACATGGAAATAAATATCTGTGATTTATAGTTCGTGTTGCAAACGCAAGCGATAAAAATGCGTGGTTCACGCTGCAATGAAGACAGAGGCGGCTGAGCCGCGGGAGAGCCGCACACTGCTCATCTGTTTCAAGGCCAGCGTGGGCCGGCCGTCCAGTGCACCATGGGGAGACACCGGAGGCTGTGTGCTGGCTCCGCTCCAGCCCGGAGGAGCAGCTGGGAACCGCTGACGCCCCATTATTTAGCTATGATGCTCCTGCTGGCCGAGCCTAGCAGACATTTTAAGATCATCTTCCTCCAGTAAGGAGACTCTTGGACTCCCAGCACTCTGCCCCCTGCAGAGATTTATGACCTGAGGGATCCCATCAGGCTAACAACCCGGTCTGGCTTGACAGGACTCCAACTGTGCGAGCCTCAGAGGCTGCCCATGCATGCATTTGGATGCTGACAGAGGAGGTTAGGAGTTCGAACCAGCACAGCAGTTTTTCTTTTTCATTTAAGTTAAAAATGAGAAGGCTGTGGATTAAGATGTTTTAAAGATTCCACTCCCCAATTCTTTTGGGACCCTCCTTCAAGTCGAACATGAAACACCAACTGGCACCCTACTGCTCCTGCCATTTAGTCAGCCAGAGACCTTGGGAGGATGCGCCCCGGTACTCAGTCAGCGCAGTTGCCCTGTGAGGCCGCTATGAGGAAACAACAGAACCCCCGTGGCTCCCAGAGGGCCCGGACCCCTCCCAGGAGACAGAGTCTAATAAGAAAGACACATGCTTTCACTGTCAGTAAAATGAGACCTGGGTTTTCTGCCCACTTAAGCTGGAAGAAAAAATTGTCAGTATTCTGAGCAAGAGAGAAATGTATCTTACATTTCAGAGGAAAAGAAAACTTTAAATTAAGATCTCTTTTCCCAACTCGATTGTCAAAATAAAACAATATTCCACAAGGACTAATATATATAATGTGGATTCATTCTTCTGTGCTTTGTCATTGATAGTTGTGCTTCACAGACTAAATAGATAACTGATGTGACTTTTACAGCAAAAATAAAAACAGCCAAGATTTATTGAGGGTTTCTCACACGTACCAAGAGTTTTTACATGGATTTCCTCAACAGATCTTCACCCTAAATGACCTTGATTCCATACAAGGTGGGCCTCCATAGAGGGATCTGAACCCAGGTAGGTGGCTTCACGGCCCACACCTTCAACCAGGGTGCGAGCTGCCACGTGTGCACAGTATTTGCTCTCACCCATCAGCATAATCCAGGCCGACTATGCATACTCCATCCAAAGGACTCGGATGCAGAGAGCTGTGGGATGAGAGCTGGGACATCCAGGCCTTGCTCTTTGCTGGGGGTGCAGCAGGAACCCACCTTTGTCCTCCTTAGGAATCTCCCACCAGGACAGTGCAGCACGAGGCATATGGCCAGGCTTTGTACTGTCTCTGAAAGCTTTCTCTTTCAGAGAAAAATACAAATATTAGAAAACAGGAGACATATAAATCAAAGAGTTAGGTAAGATGAAGGTCTGGATTTTCTTAGGTGAATTTGGGGTGCCCTCAGTGTGTTTTCTACACGTTGTTCCCATACATCAGTTCCAACTTCCCCTGGGCTGATGCTTTTGCCTCTGAATTGTGCCTTTTCTTTCAGCACACAAAGCTCTTGACAGAAGTTACTCATAACATTGTACCTGACTGAGTTAAGTATAGAAATGGGACATCAAAGAATACACAGATGTCTTTGGCTCGAGATCCCTCAAAACCAGAAAGACAGATTGTAGAGAGGCAGAACCCCAGTGAGAAAAACAATGGGCTAAACAGGTGACTTACAGGAACAATTAGTAACCTTCTAACATACATACATTTACAATAGAGCACAAGAAAAATCTTTCTTTGCAGAAATCAATAAGGATGAAGGAAAAGGGGAATCAGAGACATAAGATATGAAGCTTTGGGGGAAGAAGGAGGATGTCGCCCCTTGTGAAGGAGGGATGAATGCCAGAGGGAGTGGTGGGTTTGCAGGTGGGCTGTTGGTGGCAGGAAGAGGTGGTTGTGACTTGATTCCCATGTCTGAGGTCTGAGCTCATGGGCCGAGAGTGTGGGATGGGAGAAGGGGGAGCACTGGAGGAGCCCGAAGGTGATATAAAATCACTGTCCTGGGAGGGAGCAAACGGCCAGGGAAGGAGGTGAGGATTGCTGCCATCCTGGGGTGGCCATGTAAGACAGTGGCCAGACTTTTCGAATGAGGACGTGGGCTTGCGAACTTCCAGGCAGCATTTAGCCACTGAGCTCCATGTGTGGAGCGGTGAGGAGTTGGGTGCAGGCAGGCTGGGCTTTCCGGGGGAGTATATGGGAGGAAGAGTTGGGCAAGAGTGTTCAGCCAGCTGGCGAGAGGTTACGGCACTACCCATGGACTCTGGACTGGGGAGGGGGGCACGGGGGTCCTGGACAGTGAGGGGTGGGAAGGCTGGATGCCGGTGAGACAGAAGGACAACCGGAGTGTGGATGCGGGAGCACGTGAGCTGCAGTGACGAGAGGCGGCGGCCAGCATGGGGTGTTGGGGACCCAGGTTTCACAGGTGAGGCAGGTATGAGTCAGAAGAGCAGCTTAGGTGCACCAACAGAGACCACACAACCACGGCTCAACCACGGGAGGTTGTATTTCCTTTCACGTGGAAGTCTGAGCCAGCAGGCAGTTGGGGGGCTGGTAGAGGCAGCTCTGCTCAAGGATGTCACCAGGGATTCCAAAGCCCTCCATCCTGCGACTCCACATGCCCTGCGGGTTGTCCCTGCCCACACGGCTGGAGCTCTTGCACTAAGGCCAGCCCTGCTGCAGTCCACAGAGCAGGGAGAGGAGGAGGATGAAGCAGAGCCTTCGCAGGACACCCACGGAAGGGGCTTGCATCACTGTGCTCACATCCCGCTGCCAGATGATGAGTTGGGAGGGAGGATGGGGAACGTCTAGCTGGGCATCTGTGTGTGTGTGTGTGTGTGTGTGTGTGAGTGTGAGTGAGTGTATGTGTGTGTGTGAGTGTGCATGTGTGAGAGTGAGTATCCCTCCCAACCCACCTTCTCAGGGACCCTGAGCTTTATTTAGAAATATCTAGGGGCAGTGGTACCCACGACAAGACGAAGGGGACGACAGAGGTCTGGCTCTCTGTGGCTCTGTCTCACTCATGTGCACACGTGCTGTGCGCTGCAGCAATCCACACTCCCTTTACAACCCGGGCAGGCCTTCAAGTGGGTGCTTGTAACAATTTCATTCAGTAAGAAAAGTTAACAATAGTGAAGGGGACGGAAGTCTAAGAGCGAACACGTTACTATCCCCACAGTATGTTACCTCTCCTGCCAGCCTGCATTGATGAGAGTAAAAATAAAACAAACAGGATGCTCTTATGAGAACTTCGACTCACATACACAAGGTTTCCCAGACTATTTCTCACCCAAACATATTGTTTTAACTCCCTTGTGCAGACAGTTCTTGTTGCTTTTGCCTCTTTGCTGTTCCGGATGACTTGACAGTAGTTAGCACTTCCAATCCCCTAGACTCGGGAGCTTCAAGGACTCACCAAGCATATTTGCAAAACTGTGAAACCCATTCCGATGAGCATGGCAGTTCTTACCTGGGGGGACAGGCAGACACCTTGCAAGGCACCAGCCCCGTGACAGGTCGGGTGTTGGGATTGCAGAATGACGTGTTTACTTGAAACCTCAGGTCTCTGTAGCAGCCTTCTCTGGCGGTCATCTGCCCTGTAAGAAAAGGTGGAATGTATAATAAAGACTCACAAACATGTCTCATGGTAAAAGACTGATGAAGAGCCAATAAAATTTTTTTAAATAAAATCTTTACCATCTTTACATGTCTTTGTATTAATGACCAATTGGCCAACTATTGATATTCTACTTTTTTGACCCATCTTCATGCTTTCTATTAGTGAATTCCATCAATTCTAAGATGCACATATTTTCTCCCTACATTTTAACATCTTTAAAATCAACATGTTTCTTGCAACTGATGCCAACATAATGGTTCTTTTCTATTATTTCCAGAGTTGGGGACACCAGCCATTTCTCAGAAAAAACACAATACTAAATACGCCTGACTTGTGTGTCCATTTGTGGGATCACATCAGGAAGCAATCAGTAATACACCAGAAAGAACTACAGATAAAAAAATAATAAGCAGTTTATAACCAAAGAATTAACAGAGCTAAATATTGCCATGGGTGCAAGCCCAATGGTGAAATTTTCACAATAATGACTTAGGTCTTGCATCAAATGAGGTCAATGGAAAAGAAAGTGGGTTTGATTCTCAGCCTCCATTTACATCCCCAGTGCTATTTAAGCCTTTGTGAACATCCCTAAATTTGTTCAATATTTCAGTTCATTAAATCTACCAAAAAAAGTACTGTTACTTACATGAGGTATCTAGAATAGTCTAATTCATAGAGATAGAAAGTAGAATGCTGGTTGGCAGGGGCTGGGAGGAGGGGGAATGACAAGTTAGTGTTTAATGGGCAGAGTTTCAGTTTGAGAAGATAAAACAAATCTGGGACGGACGGTGGTGATGTCTGCTCAACAATGTGGATGTATTTAATGCCACTGAATTGTACACTTAAAAGTGGTTAAAATGGTAAATTTTATCTTATGTATATTTTACCACAATAAAAAAGGGACTCCACCTAGATATACATTTTGAAGGATGATATTAAATAGCTCATCCAGTGGAGAGAAAAACAAAAGAAAAGAACCAAAGCAGTGTTGATTTAAAATTAACACAAGTGAAATATATTAAGATCTAACAATGATTTTATCACTGGGCTTGGAAAAACTGATGGAGTTGGCTGTTCCTGTGGCCTGTCTGTTCCCCCTCCTCTGCAGCCCAAGCCATCGCACAACTCGGAAAGACATCCTGCGCCCAACTTGATTCCCACATCAGGCAGATGGTCAAGGAAGAGACCAAAGAAGCGGTTTCCGAGAGCAAGGCCACAGGTTGTAGACTCCACGCACCACCATCTCTAACCATCGGTTCCATATGAAGCCAAACCCTTCTTTACTTAAGGAAAAGTAAAAGTCTATAAAATATGCATTGGAAGCCAGTTTGATATTCTGCCTTCACTTTGTCAAAAGGAATAAAGCAAGTCAATGGGGAATGTTACATTCTCTAGAGAATCAGTTTTCTTAAGTGGCAAGAGGTGGAGAGAGGCTTCCTAGGGTCCAGAGCAGGTGGGAAACTCATGGTCTGAGCCCCAAACCGCCCACTGCTGGGGTTGAGCCCTGTGGGCGCTGATGAAGGATGGGGGTGCTTACCCCAGCAGTTTTGCACAATTATTCAGCTCTCTGCTAATTTGACGCAATCATATTTTTACCCAAGTTAAGTAGTTTTTATTTGGTGCTCACCAACGTGAATTTTGCAATTATTTCTTCCCAATTTTAATGATTTCTGATCAAGAATCGCTTATTTAAAAAGTGATGAAATATTTCCCCAGAAATATAAGAAAATTTATTTAGACACTTTGGGAATCTTAAAGGAGAGTATATCTATGAAAGAACAAGACTTAAATCACATGTAATGAATGCCCCTTAAATACTAAGGTTAAGAAGATCAAGTTGGTGTTCATTGAGGATGAGCTTCAATCCCATGAGGCAGTAGAAGGGTAATAAAACGAACATTTCAAGTGCTCTGGTAAGTCTACAGCCCCAACATGTGTCCTAATATACAGATTTAGGAAAATTAAAGATGGGCTTGGTGACTCGTGAGGGACAGAAGAGCAAAAGGCGAGGCTGCAGATCCCCAAGTGTCACAGCTCTCGCTTGCTCAATGTGCTCTGAACAAGGCTCAGGTGTGACACAGCAGGCAAGAGGCACGGGCAGACACCTGCAGGATTTATAGACACAGCACACATCCCTGCAGGCTTCACACTTGCCTCCGTCGAGGAAGGAAGGATACCCCAGAAATCAGTCTCTCTCAGTGTCCCTGAGACAGTCACAAGCCAGTTGTGTGACCTGTCACTGTGTCACCCGTGGCACTGATGCAGCATGCACTGAGGGGCACTGAGCCCATATGTGTCACACTCGAGGCCTTGCAGTGGCTTGTCCCCTCAGGCAGGGAAGAGCAGGGCTCTGTTCTGGATCCTCTTCCATTTTCCCTAAGTGCTCTCCCGGTGGTCACGGTTACTCTGCATAGCCAATTACCCACAAGCCTGCCTCTCTGGCCAGCACCCTCTCTTAGCTCTGGCCTAATGTCCCTGGGCCACCTCCCGGACACATGGAACTGGCTGTCTAACAGATACACAAATGCATAAACATCCATTTCAACGCAGCCTTCCTCAGACTCTCTGCCCTGAGGTCTGTGGTCTCCGCGTGGTCAAGGGGGACATTCTTTTAGTTCCTCCACCCCCCACCCTTAGTCCAGGCACTCCTCCTCCAAGTCCAGTTGTTCAACTGATATGAAGGGCATTTCCTTTTAAAAATACACACATGCATGCACTCACGCCACTCCCAGATTAAAAGCCTATTTTTCTTTTCAAAACTCGGACTTCCCGGCCTTGCCCTAGCAGCCCCGCCGCGTCCCTCTCACGCTGACCTCCTGCCTGGTCCTCTGATCCTCCCGGCCCGTCTGCATGCTGTCTCTCCACCTGGAGTGCGGTCGTCATTGCCATCCCCCTGGACATAACTGGCGGAATTCTTCTCACTCCTTTAAATCAGAGCTAAATTTCCCCTCCTCTGAATTCCTCTGGTCAGCAGCTCTCGGACTCAAGTGTTTGTCTGAATCCTCTTGTTAGTCAAACACAGAATGCTGGGCCCCACTTCCGATGTTTCTGATTCAGTAGGTCTAGGATGCGGTCCAAGGATTTACATTTCTAACAAATGCTCAGGTGATGCTGCTGGACCAGGGACCACACTTTGAGAACCACTGCTCCAGGCAAAACCAGAAGTCACAACTTCTGTGTCTCAGGTGACACAGGTGACATAGTAAAAAATAAATATTTGGCCTTTGTCTCTGGTTCCTGGCATACAGCTCTTAGAACCCTTGGAATCTCTGAGTCATAAAAGTGTCTTTTGTACACTAATGAGATGACTGGTGGCTGTGGCCCCTAGATAGCTTTAAGATGGGGTTGATCCCCAGAAAGATCGAGGCATGATTAGAGGGTTGCAACTTTCAGCCTCATCCTTGACTTCCAAGGAAGGAGGAGGGCCTGGAGATTGAGTTCAATCAGCAATAGCAAATGATTTAATCAATCATGGCTACGTTATGGAACCTCTGTAAAAAACCCTAGGCAATAGAGTTCAGAGAGCTTCCAGGTTGGTTCTACGAGCCAGGAGGGTGGCGCCGCCCAACTCCATGGGGATAGAAGCCCCTGCACCCGGAACCCTCTGGACTTCTCTCTCTAGACATCTTCATCTGGCTCTTCATTCGTATTCCTCATAATAAACCCGTGGTAGTAAGTAAAGTGAATTCCTAAGTTCTGTGAGCCATTCTGGCAAATTATCAAATCTGAAAGGGATTTAAGGAACCCCCAACTTTGTAGCCAAGTCTGACAGAAGTATGGGTACCCTGGGCACCCAGTACTTGCAACTGGTATCTGAAGTGAAGACAGTCTTGCGGGACTGAGCCCTTAAACCCGTGGAGTCTGACGGTAACTCTGGGTAGTTAGTGTCAGAATTGAACTGAACTGTTGGTGGCTGGAAAATCAGAGAATGACTGTTGGTGTGGAAAAAACCCATACACTTGGTGGCAGAAGTATAAGTAAAGACAGTTCATAACCAGGCTAGCTCAGGTTTATGCTTATGTGTCCTGGGAAAATGATAAAAGCAACCCCTTTCCCTCTCAAAAGCATGTTTGGGCAAGACATTACACGGTGAACCTGATGCCAAGGTTCAGTTAACATATATGTGTCATCCCTTGGAAGGAATTTCTGGAGGGCAGAGAGCATATGTCACCCATCTCTGTCATCTCTGTAGCTTGCAAGGATTAATTTGCCCTCTCACTTATTAAGCTGTTTTTGAGCCATTGGCCAATTTTGTGATATTCAGTAACTTCTAAGCTCAGGCAAGTTAATAGTGAGTTAACTAATGCTGAGCCAAAAAATCATCAAAGTAGGTGTATAGTCTCGTCTTTATACACTACTTAGAATGAACTGGGGCACAGTTTTGATGACTCACTCACGTGTCAATGCAGAGATGAAATTTGGATCAATGTTTTATGAACCCACTTTTCCACTTGTTAACAAGGAATAGGAAACTAACAAATGTCTGTTTAAAGCTGTTCTGCAGAGAATTTAGTGGGCTCCTTTAAGTTAAGCCTGATAATCATAATGACCTAATTTACATGAGGACATACTGAACAAGAGTACAATTTCCTAAAACTGTTACAAGTCGCCCTAAGGAATACAGAAGGAAAGTTGTCTTGACTGACAAAAGCACAAATATGCAATCAAAAGTTGCAAGATCCTTGTGGGGAGGGATGATGGTGAGAGACATGAGGGTAAACCAGTGGTCTGAGGGAGAATATGGAGAAACAGGGCCCCTGATTTTGTTATACATCTGCATTTAAGGAAGCTAGGAGGCAGAACCAGTGACAAGAATGTGCTTATAAAGGAAGGAGGCAAATGGGCAAGAGAGATCTTGGAAACCAAGGGCAGAGAAAGTTTGAAGGAATGGGTGGTAAACTGTTGAGTGCTGTGGGAGGCCAGGGAGGAGGGGCTAGAGAAGGGCCTTGGACCTGGTGACTGGGTGGTGGTCACGAC